AAACAATCGAAAACAAACGTGTTCTCAAGATATAATTTTGTAATTATATTTTTTGGACACGCATGAATACATTCGTTATGAACTAGTGCATACAAATATAGAAAAGTAAAATGCACACAGGCTTTTTTAAAAATGAATGCCAACCATGGTGAAAATGTTTGAAGGGTGATATATCAAACTCCCTTTTCTTCATCCAAGTATATACATACTAAATTTATAATACGTGCATACCGTATTATTTTCAAGGTTCGTCAATGAGAATGACTGATCAGCGTTGCCATGAATAATTCTGAACATAACGCGCTCATTTTCGCCGGTGTCTTTGTCGTGCGCTGCAAAGCGAAAACTTTGACCCAATCCAGTCGGTCCTGAAAATCAAAAGCGGCACTTTCAAATAATAAGGCACTGAATTAAAAATAGTAGTATTAAAATAAATTTCTTCAACACGACTGCTGCAAAATGCACTTGCTTAGTGGTTTTTTTTGAAGGTGAGTACAAACAGTTGCACATACATGAAATCATGCACATATTCGTGCTGCTTGATCACCTGATAGTGACGCGATAGGCCACTCTGGCAAGTTGAGGAGGTGATGTCGCCTACCGAAACTTCGCAGAGTGTTTCACTCTTCTTAAGCTGTTGGGCTGGATGAAGGTTCGAAATACAAAACATTTTCATTCACGACAGTTGATACCTGGGAATGAACTGCCGAACATCATTAACTCAACAAAAAACGCTCAAAGGAAAATGGAAACCATTAAAACAGTTGCGAGCTACCGCGTCAGCCTGAACAATACTGAAGACAGTAAATCACAGACTAGAAATAATGAATGAACACGGAAAGTCATCGAGATCCCTATGCCAGTCAGAATGCGAGAACGCTATTAACAGATGCATTTGCCAACATCTACATGAAGGAAACCATGCCTATACCAAAATTGTAGAAAAAGTACCGGAATATCTGTATATCTTTGAAGTAAATTAGCTGCAGACAGCCGAACGGCAAACGAAGTTAAGCGACGCTGCGCGTTGGCAGTAGCAGCGAGCAACAGGATATTCAAGCTGTGGAAAGATAATGCTGAAGATGTTCGACATCTGCATCCTGATAATCTTACTGTATAGCTTGGAGACAAGAGCACTTACTGAAAGATTTTAAAAACAATATTCAGAAATAAGTGATAAGATGTGTCAAATGACGCTGCAAGAGTAAGGAGCAAAGAGCAGATTTGAATATCCCACTAAAGTTACCGACTCGCTGAAAAGAAAGCTCTCAATTAAGGGTGGCAATTGCCAGCAAAAAGACGATAACCGCCCTGCAAAACGAAATTTGAACGTAAGGTCTGATGGCAGACGACCGCAATGAAGAATGGTAGCAAGGTGAGAAAGTCTCCTTAGAACAAGCATGACATTGAAAGAACTTAGCACGCATTTCTTCCATGCAGGCTGAATACGTGTAGGCACCCAGCGTCCTCTTCGATTTAATGGTAGAAGAAGAAAAAGAAGAAGGAAACAGAGAATATCGACGCAGAGTTCATTGGAACTACTGAACTCTGTTCTCAGAGGAACTGTTCCCCTGAAAACCAACTGTCTCTCGGGAAAGCCTTCGAAACAGTGCTCACACAGGCCGCGTTTATAATAAAATCGAAGCATGAACCATGTGCGGTAAGATTGTATCGGCAATGTTATATTTTAGACGCCAGATCATAAAAAGCAACAACAGCATTAAATTCTCTGCGCTTGGCTCATCATTGGGAAACGATGCTGAATTTGAAAGATTCTATTTTTTCTGAATCATCAGGCTTTAGTCAGCATCGAATTTATATTTAAAAAGTTTCGTTCGATATGATGCTCCAGATATCTCGAAAACTACAAAAATAAATACGCATTATATTAATATTAGTATTTAATTTGGTACGCTACAATTACAAAACTATACTATTCTCAAAAACGTATAACAACCTGTACAAGCAAAAGATATACGGCGTTACTAATAAAAGATATAAACAACAAACTGGCATACCTTCGGAAACATTCCAGAGGTAAGGAGTGTTCACAAACTCAGGGGAGTTGTCATTGATATCCAGAATAACAATATCGACGTCCACCACGCTCTATAACAAGCTGTATTGAAAAACTTGACTTTATGGAGGTGAGGAATTCACCGAACAGTTTGCGTGGTCAGTGGCTTGGACGGTAAAGTTGATTTTCTCGTTGCTTTCACGATCAAACTGTTCCACGTCACTTTTGACAATTCTTCCGTCAGGAAGGACGTTAACCAGACGAGTCGCTTCTGCCGGAGTGATGAAATATTGCAGGTTTCTGTCAGAATAGTCTTCGTCCCGGGCTGATACGGTGAGGATTGTCGTGTTTGGTACACAGTTCTTAAAAATCCGTTGAGAATATAAATATTCTGCTGTAGCTCCAGAGGAGCAATCCAAGCATAACATGAACAGGATTATTTGAAATATATTACGTAATAATAGAATTAGAGTAACTGTAGAAAAAACCGTCATAATTAAGCAGTTGATTCTGACGCTTATGTTCAGATTTAGGGGTTCAATTTGTAAATTTCATAAATTCACTATTATATCCTTAGTCTAACTTGATATCAACGTCCATCTGTCCGTCCTTCCAATTTTCAGTTCAGCCATTCATCGATTTATTCATTCGTTCA